TATACGTGCCGGAATGACAACGCTGAAGAATCTATTGTCAATCTGCCTGAGGTCAACGAGCATGTGACACCGTTCTGCGGCCCACTCGGGAAGGGCTAGGACACAGGCAAATCTGTTATCAGGCTGCGGGTGGACAGGAAGTAAGGTGTCAAAGTACAGGGACTGATCCTCGTTTCTGGCGTCCTGTATTTCATTAAGAGCATCATCAACCTCACACGGGGTCCTGAGGACTAGTGGAAGGACCTCAGCACGGTATCTAGGGGCAAATACGAGGAAATGCCCATGCAAAAACACCGGAGGTGGGGCTCCTACAGGTCTAGCCCTGAGGTAATCTGTGTTCGGCGGAGTGGTGGCTTCTTGATCGTACCTGCTGGGCGCGTGCTTGGGACGTTGCCTGTCGACGGCTCGTTGCCAAGGAACACCTTGATCTCCACCTGGGGCGTGGTAGGGATTCCTTGCTTCTACTGGTGTAGAGGCATTAGTGCCAAAGCCCCCAGAGGCCTCAGCCTCGGGGACCTGAATGGGGACGATCAAGGCATGGAGGTGCGGCTGATGTCCCCGAGGGGGTCGCAGGTCTAAAAACCGTTCAAGCTCTGCCGGATCAAGTGTGACATCCTCAGTGAAATAACAGGTAGGTGTTCGGCCTACCGGTCTACAATCAAGGAAAATGAGTGATCCGAGGGGGCTATCTGGCAGGCAGGGCTGAGGTCTAAACCTGGCTGCTACAATCCCACAAAGGAGGGAACCCTTGTGGACGTAAGCCCGAAAGTTATCCTTATCTGGTCTGCATAAGGAGAGGTCAGCATGTCGACAGTGTAGTGCGTTGGCAGCGTGCTCCTCCAATTCAGCGTCGCATTGCCCTTGGTGGAAAATGTGACGGGTGGCGTGTGGCTAGAGAATGAGCCACTGGTCCGACACTTCTTCGGTATGAATGCACCGAATCTCCTCACTGAGGAATTCCCGACTGCGGAGGCATTCTTCGGCAGATGGATGCCAGAATGGCTGTCCGTAGACCGACACGAATTTGAAGGTGTCCCCTGTTTTAACCCTGAGGAGCACAGTAGAGCTGAGGGGAGCAGTCTTGTCTGTTTGGAAGACATCCCACGGCCCATTGGTGTGCCTGACAGCGTGCTCAACAAGTTCCGTGAAGGCGGGGCGCGTGCTCAAAATGGTAGCATAGACTGGCCCACCAACTTCGGAGAAATCAAAGAGTACCTCTGCAAGGTCTGACTGTGCGATCCACTGTGGCACCAACAGGAGGGAAATGTACCCTTCCGAAGGCTGAGGCTCAACGAAGTCGACATCTGCTGCAAAGAAAGCCCTTTCTGGACCCAGATCACTGACAACTGCCTGAAGAAGTTGTCCTGGCTGGACTGGGAACGGCACTTTAACGTGGACAGACTGTGTCGGATATTCCGGCGAGAATAACACACATTGGACTGTGATGGCAGAGTCACGGTCAGTGAAAGCAGGTGCTCTCTGTTGCTCTGTGAGACCGCCTGCTACACCTTGTCCTCCCGGCATCGCCCAAGTGCTGGATGCATCGACTCCTTGATGGGTGGAGAGTCCCGGCAAGATAGGATCAGGCCATGTGGACGATTCACTGCCCTGCAGAGTGGCTGGGTTGCCACAAATCTGAGAATCATCATCCCAACAGGCTCTAGGGATCCTAGCCGGGGCAGCCCAGATACAGGCAGGGCAGTTGAGCATTGAAAGGCACCACAGGGCTATCCTGGTTCCAACAGGAGGCAAACCTGAGGCACGCCGGCCATGTTGACCACGAAAACCTCTTCGTGAAGCATTTACGCAGTGCCCACCAGAAGACTGGCTCGGAGAGAAGCCCCGAAGACACAAAAGGGGCCTCGTCGTGGCCCCCTTGCAAGGTAGCCCAAGAAGACGTTCATGTCTGTCCGGAATTTGCCGCCAAAGGCACAGGTAGAGGGCAAGGGCAAACAGGAAGAGGACGGCCCTGCACAAAGCCACAAGCAAGGCGCCAACTGCACAAAGGAAATCCAGGATCCTATCTCCCGAAAGGTCCCAGGTCTCTGGCAAAACTGTGGGGACCCACTGAAGATGGCGGTACCCCGAGGTGGACAAAATCGTAGGTCTGTCGTCAGAGACCTGGCTAGGTCTGCAGCCAAAACCGGCGCATTCGGACCCAGCCTCATCGAAACCACAACAACCCTGGGGGCTAAACCCTAGGGAGAGGTGGTGTGAGGGAGCACAGGCCGAGGCCCCAGAGCCACCGATGCCTCTGTTCGGCGCGCTGTGCTGATTCCTCCAGGGAATGGAACACCGTGGCTGAGGTGTTGCAGGCAAAGGGGTCGTCACACACACACACACACACAGGTGTGGCAACCCGCGAGGAAGAAGGAGGGCACCGGTATACCTCTGCCCAAGACAAGAGCATGATATACCCGGGCCTCGTCGACAGAAATTGGGTATTGGTGCGACTGAAGGAAAGCTCAGAGAGACAGCCCATTGACAATCCCAAGACAAGGAGGGGCCTAAGGCTGACGGAAGAGGAGCAGTCACAAGGAGGCTTCAGGCTGGCTGCGAAACAGAGGTGAGACCGCAGACCTCCTCGGACTTCACTCGCAAAGGTTCCACTGTGAGGGCATTGACCGACGAAAGTGCAGGCAGGTGGAGATTTCGCCCAAGAAATCTCGCACCGCTCTTGCTTCACCAGTCTGCCAACACAGCGGCCCCGATGCGATTGACTCCGGGAAGTCTGCCTAATGCAGGTCATTCTAGCTTGCCAAACCCTGGTGAGGGAACGCCTTCTGCTTGGTGGAGCTCCTCGTTGTCGTCGACATAGAGGGTGTCGGAAGGCCTGCTTGAGTCCTCCTGTGTCTCCCTGGGATGACTCCCACCTGGGACAACACCGAAGGGGTGCATGGCAGCTCCCCGTTCCTTTTGCCTGCGTTCTTCCAACTTGTCGCTCAGACTTTTGGAACTGGCATGTCCAGGCTGTGGGGATGCTTTGGTCGCTGTTTTGACATCTTGGCGCGGAGGGACTTCTGAAGCCGGAACCCTTGGCTGGTTGGGGTCTCGCTGTCCAGGATGCATCGGTGAAGTACCAGAGCCCTTTGTTGCACCAAAGTCCTTGGCAGCACTGGTGGGTGCAGTTGCTTCCATCTGGGGCCCTGGGGGAGGTGTCACCACAGGGCCCGTTGGAGTTCCAAAACCTGGTGGCCCGGCTGCTCCTGGGGTCATTCCCGTTGTCGCCTGAGCAAAGGCAGCCCGGGCTGCCTGCATATGCATAAAGGAGGCCGCATCTGCATGTCCAAGTAGTTGTTGGAGAAGTTCGGGTCGCAGCTGCTTGAGAGCACTCTCTGCTTCCAGAAGGGGGTCCCGTGGTACTGGACGCTGGCTGGGGGATCGCGGCTCCCGGATGGACGACTCCATAGAGCGTTGGATGACTCCATCGAAGTCGATCTCCATCGGCTTCTGCCAGTCCTCCTGCAACTGGCTCCATCCATGCGTGGCCTCTGTCGTGGCCGTATCCACCGTGCTCGGAGGTTCCTCCGTCTCTCCCAAAATAACACCTTTGACTGCAGCTCGAGCCGCCTCCTGTTGCCTGGTCGCTTCCAGGAGCTCTTCCTGGTACCAGGCCAGGTCCTTTTGGTGCCGGACATATTGGTGGATGTAGTTGTTCTTCATGTCCTCCATGAACTGGTCCCATTGTTGGATGTTCATTTCCTGGTCTGCAGTGATTTTGCGGACTCTGTTCTCCGCCTTCTTTGCCGCTGTCACCGCTCTCTGGAGTGCCTGCATGGATCCAGGTTGGCGCTGTGCAGGGATGGAACTTGTCGCTGGAGGTGCCTTGGGAGTCACTTGAGTGTAGCTGGGGAAAGTCGGCGTATACTTTCCATCCTGCTTCGCCTGCCTCCACGGAGCTCGCGGAGAGTATGCTCCCCGCCACAAGGTATAGGAGCCATTTCCAGGATCCTTGTTCCATCCTTGCTGTTCGGCGGCTTTGTCTCCCTTGTGGCCTTTCCATGTCTTGCCCATACCCACACCGGCAGGGCCTGTGTGGTGGAAAAAGAGCAGAGCTATGTCCCGCAGGAAAGGAGCAGCTCCAGCTGCTTTTGCTGCACGCACACGTGCTCTCGCCCGAGACCGTCGTTGTCTCTGTCGGCGGTGCCAGTTGGGAGATGGCGGCGCCGTCGATCGTGCCTCCTTGGGCACTGGGGCAACAGTTGATCCAGCCGCTGCTGGCGATCTGAGCCCTACATACATATATACATACATACATACATACATGCACAAATGCCAAAATACACATGCATGCATGCACGCATGCATGCATACATACACACATAAAAAGTACATACTCACATACAGACATACATACATACATACATACACATACATACATACACACATACATACATACATACATACACACATACAAACATACACACATACACGCATACAGCACACATGCATACTTACATACATGCATTTATGCATACATACATAAAAACATACATACATACATACATACATACATACACACATACATGAACACCATGCAACATACAACATACAACTACAAATGCAAACACACATACACATGCACATACATGTGCACATAATGCAGGTGCACATGCAAATACCCACACATGCACATACACACGCAACACACACACACACGCACACATACACATACACATACACATACACATACACATACACATGCACATGTGCATCCACATGCACTGTGTATATATATATGTATATATATAGATATATAGATATACATAAAGATATGCGCACGTACATACACATGTGCACGCGTGTGTAAAATCAAAACTGCAGACTAAGTCTTTTAACAAGAACCCAGAAACTGACATCATGTTAGGATTCCTCAAATTATCTTAAGGAAATTCATTAGTCAAGGGGTTTTGGAGTCTCTGGGAACCCAGACGCATGATTATGACAACCCTAAGCCCTAAACCCTTACATCTGCTAAGCGTTTACAAGAACCAAGTGGCAGGGTCATCAGAGACCAGGCGATAGCCTGGAACTCCGGCGCCATCTCCTAGTGGGTGGTTGTGAGCCTAGGGCTTCAAGGCTTTGGGCTTAGGGCTTAGGGTTTAGGGCTTCAATGCGTAGAGCTTAGGGTGTCAAGGCGTAGAGCTTACAAATTTAATGCTTAGGGTTTAGGGTTTAGGGCTTCAATGCGTAGAGCTTAGGGTGTCAAGGCGTAGAGCTTACAAATTTAATGCTTAGGGTTTAGGGTTTAGGGCTTCAATGCGTAGAGCTTAGGGTGTCAAGGCGTAGAGCTTACAAATTTAATGCTTAGGGTTTAGGGTTTAGGGCTTCAATGCGTAGAGCTTAGGGTGTCAAGGCGTAGAGCTTACAAATTTAATGCTTAGGGTTTAGGGTTTAGGGCTTCAATGCGTAGAGCTTAGGGTGTCAAGGCGTAGAGCTTACAAATTTAATGCTTAGGGTTTAGGGTTTAGGGCTTCAATGCGTAGAGCTTAGGGTGTCAAGGCGTAGAGCTTACAAATTTAATGCTTAGGGTTTAGGGTTTAGGGCTTCAATGCGTAGAGCTTAGGGTGTCAAGGCGTAGAGCTTACAAATTTAATGCTTAGGGTTTAGGGTTTAGGGCTTCAATGCGTAGAGCTTAGGGTGTCAAGGCGTAGAGCTTACAAATTTAATGCTTAGGGTTTAGGGTTTAGGGCTTCAATGCGTAGAGCTTAGGGTGTCAAGGCGTAGAGCTTACAAATTTAATGCTTAGGGTTTAGGGTTTAGGGCTTCAATGCGTAGAGCTTAGGGTGTCAGGCGTAGAGCTTACAATTTACAATGCTTAGGGTTTTAATGCGGAGCTAGGGTGTAGTAGAGCTTACAAATTTATGCTTAGGGTTTAGGTTAGGGCTTTCAATGCGTAGAGATGCTTAGGGTTTGCTTCATGCGTAAGCTTAGGGTGTAAGGCGCTTAGAGCTTCAAGCGTAGCTACAATTTAATGCTTAGGGTTTAGGGTTTAGGGCTTCAATGCGTAGAGCTTAGGGTGTCAAGGCGTAGAGCTTACAAATTTAATGCTTAGGGTTTAGGGTTTAGGGCTTCAATGCGTAGAGCTTAGGGTGTCAAGGCGTAGAGCTTACAAATTTAATGCTTAGGGTTTAGGGTTTGGGGCTTCAATGCGTAGAGCTTAGGGTGTCAAGGCGTAGAGCTTACAAATTTAATGCTTAGGGTTTAGGGTTTAGGGCTTCAATGCGTAGAGCTTAGGGTGTCAAGGCGTAGAGCTTACAAATTTAATGCTTAGGGTTTAGGGTTTAGGGCTTCAATGCGTAGAGCTTAGGGTGTCAAGGCGTAGAGCTTACAAATTTAATGCTTAGGGTTTAGGGTTTAGGGCTTCAATGCGTAGAGCTTAGGGTGTCAAGGCGTAGAGCTTACAAATTTAATGCTTAGGGCTTCAATGCGTAGAGCTTAGGGTGTCAAGGCGTAGAGCTTACAAATTTTAGGGGGTTTAGGGCTTCAATGCGTAGAGCTTAGGGTGTCAAGGCGTAGAGCTTACAAATTTAATGCTTAGGGTTTAGGGTTTAGGGCTTCAATGCGTAGAGCTTAGGGTGTCAAGGCGTAGAGCTTACAAATTTAATGCTTAGGGTTTAGGGTTTAGGGCTTCAATGCGTAGAGCTTAGGGTGTCAAGGCGTAGAGCTTACAAATTTAATGCTTAGGGTTTAGGGTTTGGGGCTTCAATGCGTAGAGCTTAGGGTGTCAAGGCTTAGGGGTTTAGGGCTTAGGCCTTGCGGCTTGGGGTTGAGGGTTTCCAGGCTTCGGGAGTAGGGTTTAGGCTTTCACGGTTTTGGGCTTAGGATTTAGGGTTTAGGCTTAGTCTAGGGCCTAGGGTTTAGGGTTCCAAGGCTTTGGGCTTGAGGACGAAGGGTGTTAGAGTTTAGCGTTTGAAGGCTGAGACCCTGCAAAAACCCCCTCCTGTTTGTACCCGGTCGTCTTGATCTGGTTGTAGACCGCCCATGCCGCATTCTTGGCCGCTGTATGCTTGGTAAGGCACTCAAGAAACAAAGATTCAGGAAATGGGATCGGCGCTGGTGTCGTCGGCTGAGACCTTGACAAGCTCTCTCTCGCTCTCTCTCTTCCCAGAGACTCCAATATCCTTTAATTTAGCAAGATACCTTAAATTATCATAGGGTCCCTAATATGATTTAAAGTATGTTCCTTAAATAAGGGATATTGGAGTCTCTAGCTTTCTTGAGCTAAACGTGTCTCTACCCGCGGTACGATCGGCAGCGAGAACCTAAAGCCACACACCACGAAGCGTGTCATCGCCGGCTCCACTTAGAACGCCAAAACCATAAACCCTGAACCGTGTACCATCCGTAGCAGGGTACTACGACTGGTACTACTACTACTACTACTACTACTACTACTACTACTACTACTACTACTACTACTACTACTTCTTTGCGACCCTCTCAGGGGCTACTTAGGGCGGTTCTTGCCACGGCGTTCGCCGGATTCGGCCCTACAGTTTCGGGTGCTCCGGCCTGCGACGGCGGGAAATTGTGGGAAGGCGCCCTGGCAGATCCTCCTCCGCATCCTCTGAACGGTTGATATAAATTTTAGGGTTCCTTTAAAGGGGTCTATAAGGGTACCTTTAAGGGGTTCCTTTACGGGATCTATAGGGTTTTAGGGTTTAGGGATATAAATCCTGCATTACCCATAACAAGGAATATGCCGTATTTCCCATAGTTTAGGGTCCTTAAGGTCATGCAGGGTTTATATCATCAACCGGAATCAGGGGTTTAGGGCTTAGCGTCATTGTCCGGGTCCTGAAGGCTGATCACCCCAGGCTCCGACATTGCAAAGCTTTCAGGCCTACGAAGTAGTAGACCTATCCCGGAAGTCCAAATGCGTTTATACGATATCCTGGGGCCTTGAAGGAGTTCCTGCGAGCGAAACCTGGGGCCGTTGGGAAGTGGGTTGATTTCTCTAAACCCTAAATACTAAACCCCGAATGCTGCGAGCCTAAACCCTGAAACCGCGCACCCTGAAACCCTACACCCCAAACCCCCTAAACCCGAAACCCTTAAACCCCAAGGCTCAAAACCTTAAACCTTCAATCCCAAAACCGCAAAACCCTAAACTCTCAAAACACCCTTAACCCCGGTTCATTGTCAGATGCCGGACTGTCCTCCACCTCCCCCCTCTGCTTCTTAGCCTCCTCGATCTCCTCCTTCCTGGGCCGTTGCTCGCAGCTTTCGGGTTAAGGGGTTTAGGGTTTAGGAATCTATGCGGTTTAAAATCTTTTTTTAAAGTTGAAATGCACCCCCTTTTCGAAGATCCGAAGGTTCAGGAGTCTAGGAGTTTAGGGGTTCAGGGCCTTCCACTATGTCCAGTGCTTAGAAGGGAGGCGCTTACTTGTTCTCTTACGGGAACCCCCGGACAGCCCTAATCCCTAAACCCCTTGACCCTGTCCCTACGAATTGCAGCAACTCTGGATAGGGGCCGCAGCATGACGATGTAGGGTTTTGGGTTTGGGAGTTTAGGGTTTAGGATTTCAAGGCTTTGGGTTTAGGAGTTTAGGGTTGAGGATTCAAGGGTTTTGGGTCTAGGAGTTTAGGGTTTAGGATTTAGGATTTAGGGGTCTAGGGTTTGGGAGCTCAGGGTTTGACGTTTGGGGTCCAGGGCTTCGGGCAAATCCAAACATGGACTTCCTGTGCGGTCTTCACTTCTACTTTCGCCCGTAGTAGTGCTACCTGCTACTTTTCGATGACTTTTCTATGAGGATTACGATAGCACGGCCTGCAGATGACAGTGTTACTATGGTTACTGCGCCTTTTCAATCTATCAACTTATCTATGCATCTGTCGATCTAATCATCTATCTATCTGTCCATCGATTTAGCTCATCTGTCTCATCTATCTCTCTACAGATTCACTGCATGCATCAAGTTTCAAGCTGGCCATGCACTTGTTCAGCTCATCTGTGGCAGACTCGAGCGTACCTAGCTTTCCCCTGAAAGCCTTCAACAAAAAGATTCCTAGGTAAGATCCTCTTAGGCCGTAGAAGGGCAATATGTAAAACTGTCCCAAACGCCTACCTAGAATAGTATATACCTAACTATTCAGGCTCCTTTATTACACGGAAAGCATATAAAATGACCCAAAGGCCTACCTAGGTGCACATCTTCCCGGCGATGGCATTCTTGACCTCTGCGGCGATGGCGCGCTGCACATACTGCTCGGTCCACTCCATCATGAGCTTCATAATGGCCTCGACCGGCCTACACCCTCATTTAAACCTGAGGTTTAAGGCTTTTGTGGCTTTGGGTTTAAGGCTTTGACGGGGTTCAGGGCTAAACCCTGAAGACTTGAAGCCCTAAACCGCGGCCTCCTCCTTCGAAAAGGGTGGCGGAAAGAAGGCTTGCCAGAGCATCCCAAGGATCTCGGACCAAAACCCGCTGATGGCAGCTTTGAGAGCCATGGCTCCCAGCTCTTTCACCATGTTCTGCATGCCCTGATAGAACCACTCCTTCGCCCAACGCTTCCTGGCAGAGAGCTGCCCCTTCTTGATGGAACTATGGCCCCTTACCTAGAACTATGCCTGCGAAGCTCCGTGATCCTGCAAAAGAATCCGGAGCACGACCAGGGCAAACTCGGGCCCTCAAGCTTAGTCCGTTTACAGGAACCTTCAGGCCTCTCTCTAAACGCCTTTGGAGTCGAAACAGAGCTAAGTATGTGTCTGCAATTGCACCCTGGAGTGTTATTCTGACAAGAACACAAAAATACTCAGAATACTCAAGCAGGGAGCCTATGATTATGATCAGGACAGCCCTGTCCTAGCATCGTCCACCTCGCTACCAACGCTGCTGTTGGAGACACTGGCGACCTACTGGATGCAAGGCTTGCTGAGGGTTTCTGGTTCCGATGGGTCCCGATTGACAGTTTCGGGATGCCTTTAAGCCCTACACCCTGAAAGTTGAACTGATGTTGGGGAACCAACAACTGTCGAGCCGATCGGGGAAGAGACTCAGCCTTAGCCCAAAACCTGAACTCCCACCTTGAATCCCCAAAGCCCGAAACCTCTGTCGGCGTACCCAGAGACTCCAATATCCCTTAGTTAGGGAATATACAGCAAATCATACTAGGGATCCTATTATAATTTAAAGCATATACCTTACGTAACCTAAACCCTAAACCCAAACTCTCTGGGTAGCGGGGCTTCAAGAGAGATGAGGGTCCCTGGTTTTAGAAGCCAAGCCTCAACCTGGAGATCTGATGCTCCAACCCATGGATCCCTCTGATAGTCCCTTAAGGGCCTTATAGTAGTCCCTATAACCCAGGATCCTTTTCGGAGTCCCTATATACCCTAAACCCGAAGGCCCTGAAACCCCCATCTTCGAAACTTGGGAATCTCGGGTTTAGGGTTTCGGTTTTGGGGTTTAGGGCTCAGGGTTTAGGCTTTAGGGTTTCGGCTTTAGGGTTTAAGGCTTAGGGTAAGCTTGGGACCGTCGGGCATCTTTTTGACGATTGTGCTTTGAAGGATTGAACTTTACACGCTTAACCCAAACGCAAAAAATTGGTAGGGGGCCTCATTCGGTTGATGTCAAGTAAATCCCTGAATTCCACATATCGCGGGTAAAGGTGCGAGGCCCGGAATCGAAACAAGCAGGGTTCTAGGGTGCAGCATTTAGGGCTTGGTGTGCAAAGTTTCGAGGTTCTTACACCTAAACCCTCAACCCTAATCCTTAAACCCTCAACCCTAAACCCTAAACCCTAACCCTAAACCCTAATCTGCGAGTTTCGGCTCTGAGGCTCGGGAGGACCATTTCATGGCATGGGTCTAGAACCTACTTCTCGGGGATCATGGGGAACTACAGGTTACTTGGAGGGTCGGGGGACTTAGTAAGTAGGTAATAAGTAGAGTTATAAGTACCCTAAAAGGATCATGGGGGACTAACGGTTAACCGGTTAACCTTTTTGGTTATATGGGGGGATTTTTTAAGGACTATGCTACCCCTAAAAAGGTTAAAGGTTCCCTACTCTACTACTAGGAGAAATTATTGCTGTAGGGCCTCGGGTCCACGCGCTCTAGGTCTTAGGGGGTAGGGGGTTTAGGGTTTAAGGGTTTAGGGTTTAGGGGTTTAGGGCTTAGGCGTTTAGGGTTTAGAGTAAGTTTCGGATCTCAGGATTTCGTTCGAGCTACACTCTCGAAGTGAAACTGTCGCTGCTCAGCGGCGAATCACTCGGAAGAAGCGTATCTTAAACCAAGGACCCCGAAGACGGGCCATAATACCTGCGATAGGAAACCTCCAGCCTGACACAAACCCTCAACTCAACGAAACCCATTCAGATTGCGTAAACCTCGAAAGCCTGCCCTTATATAGATCATGTGTATTTAGCGAACACTCCTCTGGTACTCCCTTGTGGAGCTGCGCGACAGCACCAAGCGGTAGATTTATCACAGGGACCGTTTGGGGGGGGTGAGGGGGAGGACTATACTTCCTTCTCCAGGCCTTACTAGGCATTGCTAGGTCTTTATTATGGGGATTAAGGCCCCCTACCCCCCCCCCTCCCCCTACCCCCCTAAGGGTCCCCATGAATTTACTCGCAACAAACCTGCGCTTTACAGCATAAAACCCGTTGCTGCACAGGCCTCGGCCTCAGAACCTGAACGGTAAACCGAGTTTTGGGTTTAGAGGCTGAGGGCCTTGGATTTGTGGGTTTACGACTTGGAAGCTTAGGATATAGAATTTTGGCTAGGATGCCTCCACCTCCCGCGGCGGGATGGGGCTCCGCGGCAGCATCCGCTTCACACATGCCGCGTACCTGCAACTGCAAATTGTCATGCCAACAGAATCTAACACTGGACCCTATGTCCTGTGCCATGAACTTACCCCAGACACTTCAAGAAATGTCTGCCATCATAAACAAAACCAAGCGAAGCTTTGTGAGGAGTTTAGGGCTGTAGGAAGCACCCACGCCACCCTGAACGCTTCAAACAAATAGATAACTTAAAAACCTATGGCCAGATCCACCGGTGACATTAGGGCCATAGGTCTTCAGGCGTTTAGGATTCACCTGTACGGGTGTTTGCACATGGAGTTACCAATGATGACTGGATATGTATAGCGACCTCCTGCACGAAGCAAACCGGAAAATCATGAAACCCAGCATCGAGCCAAACCTTGAACCCGAGTGAAGGAAAAACATACACACCCTCCCCGAGAAAAACTCCGAAAATACATTCTGAAAATTTTAAAATATCCTTGTGAATCCCGTGAATCCTTCCGAAACCTTCAAGCCTGTCGTCTGAGTCGGGCTGGATGAGCAGAGGTCGGGGGGGCTGCGCGAGGGCACATGATTCCTGGCGCATCTAGAGTTTAAGGTTTCGGATGTGAAAGGACCTACCTTGTTTCCGATGCTTCTGAAGCCTTCGGGCTTAAGGGCACAGCGTCCAGGCTTCCGGATTCAATCGGACTGGAACCAGCAAAAGCACTAACAAATGCAACTAATAAGCTGTCGTAGAACCGCCCTTTCGGAAAATTTCTATCAATATCTACAAACGTCAAACCCAGAAAGCCCAAACCGCTCTTGCATCTCTATCACAATCCTCCGCAGTCTAGTTCGGGTTTCCAAGACCCAGTTTTAGGTTCTGCTGTCATGCAGCTCGTGACTTCTTGCTTGGAGTTCGGGTTCTACTGCTTGGGGCTGCTGTATGCTATCTTCACTCATACAGTCGTAAGGAGCAAAACCACATTTATTCGACAACGCACAAACAAGCAGGACTTGTACAAGCTCTCGACAATACACACAGAAAAGCTGTGTGCTGTGCGTTTTGGGCCCCCCCCACTCCCGTCCCGTACGGCATCCGCGCACTCCCACCACCTGCTACAAGATCGAAGCTTCAACCCGCGGCAGCCGCAACACCCATTCCACAACGATCATAGCTAATACTGTCGGTCTGTCGGTCCGTCTGTCTCTTCGAATGTGTGTGTACATTCTATATATATATATATATATATATATTGATTGATTGTCTGTTTGCAACATGTATACAGACTTTCTGCCACATACACATAAATACGTGTGTTCGTAAACGTGAGCAAAATAAAAACAAAAAGAATTAATATCTTGTCTGGTGTAACTACTAGATACACATGCAAGCCGAGCATCTGTGCACGTGCCATTCCAAAAAATATAACAAAGCATAAACAAGTATCCCAACATCTTCTTGTATATGTACCTCAGCAATACCTGCTACTGAGCTGCTACTGTACCGCAGTCCTCGGAATCTTTTGGGTCGGTGGCTGCAGCAGCAACTGCAAGGAGCAGCAGCCCGAAACAGCCAAGTGGCGCCATCTTTGAAGCCTTTCCGATAAAACGATGTCACAAATTGTCTGAACTTGTGCGTTAAACCGAAGAAACAGTGCGACACTCTTCGGTGCTGTGACAAACATTCAAACGACCTGCACTTTAGCAGATAGCATGAAGATTCTGTTTTCGTTGTCATGCTTCACACAAGACCGGCTGCGCATCTTTGCAATCAAGTTTAAATTTTAAATGATTGGATTTAAGTTGTGGGCTCAACGATGGTTCCCACAAACATGTTGCCACAACAACACGTTCAAAGGCTGTCCAACCAATGTCGTTTAAAGAAGTTTGGTGTTCATCGCGGAACAAAACATTTGTGCTCTTTGTTGCCAGAGGTGCTGCATTGGAATTCGCAATGGTCCATGGCCATGGCGTGTCAAAATACTGAAAATTTCTCATCTTCTACAGCACATCGGCACAGCATTTGTGGAAGAGCTGCAGCTCGTTCAGAGTCAGAGCAGCATGACCGCTGCGGAGGTACAGCCTTGTGGCCAACATAGGCGGAAAGGCACACCGCCTCCAACAGCGCAAAAACCCGGTCAACGCGCGTCCGGAATCTGTGCTCAACCACTCGGAGGAAGGGTGGAGCCCAAGACAAGACTTCATTCAGTCGTCGTTCTCCGTTGGACAACGCGCGACCCCTCTGACCCCACCATTCCGTGGCAGCTGTGCACACTGAAGTCCACAAGTCTCCACGAAAAGGAGAAGGCCGTAAGCGGCATGTCTTCCACAAGAGGAAACCGAAAGCATTGGCATGTCTCGAAAAGAGAAACTGTGAAGCCAACATGATCTTATCAGATCAAAGATGGATGCGAAATGCAAAATCGGCACTTTCCAATCTGGTCGGAAATTACTGGGTGAAAGAAACACATACCACAGTCGGCAAAGATCAAGATAACTCTGAACAACTCTTTGCTTGATGGTAAAAGATCGCACCATTCCAACGTGAAAGCCGTGCTGCCAACTCGTTCCGAGGTCCACTGACATGACCAAGTTCCAGGCCACAAGCAGCTGATTTTTGTTTTTGGCGTCGCGGGGTCTCGGTGACTGCAGCTGCAGCGCTCAATCCCAACAAACATCCAAACCCACAAAAACACACGAAAACAGCAGTCAAACGAGACTACCCAAGCAGAGAAGGTTATGCACTGCTGCAACGTGCGGACTCAGTCAGCAGGAGCCGTTTAGTGAGGAAAAAGCCTTGCTTTCAGCGACTTGAGCCAAAGCAACGGTGGACCGTCCGTTACCCAAAGCCGCCCAAACAACGAGTGGAGCTCCAATACAAAGCTCCGGCAGCCGTTCTGGTTCCGTCGGACAATGGAAAACCCTCGCGTCGCTTTTGGATGGATTGTGCACCTAGCTCGCCGGGCGAGACCAACAACCTGAACCTCACGTTCGCAGGTTCTGGTTCAACCCAACTCCACCAATCTGAGGTTGGGGTTGGGTTGAACCCAACCTCAATCCCACACACAACCTGGAGCAATTGGTTCTCGCATATGGAGAGGCAGTATCCGCAGGAAGGCTCAGTTATCGTCTTTAAGGTGGGCGGGCAGCCGGTGCAGAAGCTCATCGGGGTCTTTACTGAGCTCTATATCTCGCGCAGGAGAAGCGAGGCCGTAAGCTCAACCCTGGACACGTGGAGCTGCTGGTGCAGGAATGGCCGGCATTTCTAGGTCCGCGGCCTACAATGCAGCAGCCGCCTTCCGTGACACTCCCTTACCGTAAACTGGTGTGCCTTAAGTCGGGCCCACGCCCAACGCTACTAGGGCGGTCATGCCTAGCGGCACACCTTTCGCTTGGAGCGGCCAACATACGGGGGCGAGCATTCTGTGAACTCGTCCGTCGCCTTTTGGAAGACCCCGACGGGCTCCTGTTGGCACACATCCAGGCCATCCTGGTGGCCCGTGGCAGTAACCGCACATCTCTTAATATACTCGGATGTCCGGGTGCGTCCAAAACACTCTCGCTCCTGTTGGCGGTGTTATGCATTGACGCGGTCCTGGACTTCCCGGTGGTATGGACGTCCCAGCAGCATGCGGCGTTGCTTGCCGTCCTCATGATATCCCACAATGTCTTAGCTGACGCACCCATGTGGCTGCGACGTCTGCTAGTGGTCCGACGGGTATCAGGCAAGCAGGAGTTGTTCTCCACGGTCCATGATCATGTGCCGCTCGCCAACGGAGCTGGCTATAAGGGCAAAGGCAAAGGGAAAAAGCCCGCAGGAGACACCGGGCATGTGCCTGGGTCTCTCTTGGACGCGTGGCTCTCCGCCCATGAGGATGCGACTCCCGCCCCTGACGGAGGCGCGTATCCTCCTCATTACACAGGGTTCGGGGGCGCAACAGCTGAGTCGCTGGCGCTTTGAGGTACTGCAGGCGTTAACCCACTGCCGTGCCCTCGTTATCCATGAGGGACAGCAGGAAGGACACGCGGAGTCCGTTAACGTTACTGAAGCTGCGGAGGATGTTCTTCTGATTCGCACTGGGGATCCCAAGCAGCCCACGGGAGGCGGCGGCAATGAGATACAGTTTGCGACCACCGACCGGCTCCTACAGAAGATGGTGGGTATCAGGGGAGTGGCCCATGCTGATGCTGGGCTGGCCCGTTGGCTCTTCTTGTCAGCCACGCCTGCCACACAGGGCACCCTATTCAGGGATGCCCCAGCTGAGGGAGGTTGCAGGCGTATCGTGCCGTGTCCCTTACGCGGCCTTGTCGCGGGTGCAGAGCCTCCCTGGCATTGGCTGCCATGGGACAGAGGAGACTGACATAGCTGTTGCAGCTGCACCTGTCGAAGCAACAGGCCCACGTGGGGTCCTTGCCTACATGGCAAATCTAGCCGCCACGGGAGCGCGACTCAAAGCGGCCAGAAACTCCCTTCAGGCCGAGGGCTTGGAGGCCATCCATGGCGTTGCATTCAACCTTGGCTTGGTCAGCTCAGCACGTCTACTCACGGAAGTATATCTCCTAATCACTGCTGCTCGCTACCCACAAGCCGTGGAGTGGCAGCTGACACCAGGTAGACCGCCTGGTTTGCCAAGCATTGGGCGGCTTGCGTCCACTAGCACAGCCAGGGAAGCGGCTCTACGTGATCCAGTGGCAGCCAGGACTCCAATTTCTGGAGATACCCGAGTCGACGGAGGGCTACCGCATCTGGCAGCCAGAACGCCTGAAGCACCTTTTGTCTATTGTCTTCACTCATCTATACATCACGCAGGGCCACAGAATACGAGCACTTGGTGGGCAGCGCTTGGTGCTGGTCAACCCAGCCAATCGAGTCCTGTTTAACTTCCAAACGTACGTTGGCCTGAGCAATGCCGGGCTGACGGATCAGAATGATCAACTCCAGCCGAGTGATGTGGAAAAGGGGAAGCTCCTCGCGGAGTGGGCCAGAGAACAGGGCCCGACGCTGCCTGCACCGGAGGAGATCACCGCTGTCCAGCAAGCGGAGGCTGTCTGGAAGTTCCTGGACCGCAGACCTGTGGAGCTTGGTCCATTCATCGATCTCTTCACGGCTTGTGCTGGCTCCACAGGGGCGGTCAACTTGTGTATCGTGGATCGGGTAGGCGATTTCACGGAGTGCGGGGAAGCTGCGCATCAGCGACTCACGGCTGCCCTTACCCGCAGGACAGGGCCGCTTCTGGTGGTTTCCCCGGCACAGCCTCAGGCTTGCTCGCAGCGGCGCGCATGCACTCCAAGCTGCATGACTCCTTAATGCAGCGGCAAACAGTCTGCGAGAACAAAGGTCTGCCGCCACGGAGGCGGCCTCCGGCTGGCGACCTTGAGTTCCATCGGCGATGGCATGTACATTCGTTCCCGCCCATCGTGGAGGCTACGGCCCTGCTGGTTGTGGTCTTCGATGAGGACTCCGGCCAGCACCGGGCCCAGCTTCATCTGCGGGGACCTGACAAAATCCTGACGGGGCAGCGGGGCCAGTCCCGAGTCTCTAGCTACTTTATTCCTGTCTTTGACACAGCGGACCCATATGCGGTCACTCTTGATGTGGATGATGAGCGTAAACTCTCCCGGGGCTTGCGAGCCTTTCATGGGCGCGGCGTGCAGCCTCCGACTCGCCTATACGACGCCTTTGCGGAATCGCACTCTCGCAGCATCAAGGGGAGGGCGGAGGTGAGCAGTGCGGTTACGGAAGTGATGGTGCACAAACACAATACTAAGTGGGCGGCTGCCTCGCTCCCGGGCAGCTTTTACTTTGCGCACATTGCCACGGATCATACCACGCAGGAGCTCATGAGGTTTCTCCGATATCGCCTACGGGTGCTAGTTTGAAATAGTTGGAGCAGGCACCGACCTGAGCTCCTTTCGCTTCAGTGACGATGGCACTTTGTCAGCTGGACTGGCGGCCGCGAGGTATGACAGACGAGGCAAAGCCGTCCTCGCGCGCGCTGTAAGTGCTGGCGCGGGAGTCAAGGAGGACCCTGTCTTTGTTGATGAGCTTTACAGCTCGAGCTGCCCGCGGAAAACTTCGAAACCTTCACGACCAAGCTCTTGGGGTTCACAAACACCAAGCACTCACGAAGTTTGTTCCGAGTCACTCTAGCCGACCAAGCTGGACTTCACTCTCACAAAAGCGAGCAGAAAGCAAAGCGCTGCACACACTCGGACTTCTTTTTCACTCCGCCTTGAGCCAAGACAGTTCGCGGTCAGTCACAACCTTTCTCTGTCAAGCTGGAAGCTTTCTCTACTGCTTGACCTGCACAAACACTAAGGCTGCGAAGCAAAGCTGAGCTCGAAACTCTAAGTGGCGAACTTCGAACTTCAAGGCTTCACTTGAGCAGTCAGGCACATCTTAAACGTACCACTGCACTTCAGAGCACTTCAGTCACTCATGAAATCATGAAAACAAACTCATGCGAAGTCAAATCATGCAACATGCGCTTGAAACACTTTCTCCTGCTGCGATTGCTTTGGTGTCAACACTTGTGCAAAACAAACAAGCAAAAACTCAAGTTAGGCGGCAAGCAAGCGAACTCCATCCAACCATGCTCAACCACGGTGTCGAAATCCTTTACCCCCTCTTGGAGTTTGCTTGGTAGTAGTGGTCGAGGATGCCGTCAGGCGATTGATGCAATTGATGCACACACGATATGTCTTCAAACGGGCATTACGCCCCGGGCAGCTGGAAAAGAGGTGCAAGGTCTTGCCAGCTGAAGAGACGTAAAACTTGTTTTCAACGCTCAAAGTGGTAGAAGGCGGTGAGGTCGGTAGCTCAGTGGGAAGTTCTCCCTCTGACTCACTGTCTTCGGCAACCACTGGCACCCTTGCTTTGGCTGTCCGTCTCGGTACAACCACGCACAAAGTGACTAACCAAGTGAGGTAGCTCGAAACCGCAGCGGAGGCTGCCATCACGGCAACAAGAAGCCAAAGGAGCTCAAGCGCAAAAGGTGAGAAAAACTCTGGCCAAAACTCTTCGAGAGGCCAGGCAGTAGCTACGCGGCTGCGCGGCTGCAGTTGAAGTTGAAACAAAGAACTGAGGTCCTGGCGGTTTTGGGCTCATTTCAAGGATCGCAACACAATGCGGCACATGTCCAACGGATAGTGCTGCGTCTGACGCAAGTCAAAAGACTCAGAATGCACATGATCCTGGGTACAACGGATAGTATCGAGGCGCAACGCAAGCGGCTCGTAGTCACAGTCAATCCTCCAACGCTTGTGGACAAGATGCCCGTCTGATCCAACCATGCCAACGGCACAACCGTCAACCAAGCTTCTAAACACTTCACGCTGGCGGCTGCTGAGGGTCTTTTTCACGTCTTGCCAGTTCCAGTACTGGCAGGTCTTAGGCCACTCAACCGCAAAGTAGGGCTGCAACTCAAGCGCAACAGACTCAAACGGAGCGATGAGGATGTTCAAGTTCTTCCAGAGCTTCCTCTGGATTCCCCAAAGCTTTCGGATCCTTGCCTCGTTTCCTTGGCGTCCCTTGTGGAAGTTCTGGTAAAGGCAACCCCCAGTGCAGGGAGTTGAACTCCACACAAGCACGCGCACACCATGATCAACCATGCGCACAATGAAGCACCTCAGTACGGCGATGGTCTCATCGCTCAGTCCGTTCTCGTCCTCGGTGACAGACACAACCCTCAAGTTCTTGAAGGCCTCGGCAGCAACCTTCATGCCGGAATTCACCGCGGTACAGAACTCAACTACAACCCAACGGTTCTTCTCAACACTCACCTCGTCAAGCTCACGACAGAATCGCTCAGCACGGACTCAGCCAAAACTCTTCCAAGCATAGCTACTTGCACCGTTGCCGCTGGGGAGGTGTTTCGGGGCTACCTGGCTGGGATGCAAGTGTTGGCCATAATTTCGATCGCATCATGCTGTTTCACTCCTGTATTTACCGCTGCACGGGGGAAAGCTGTACAGCAGACGTTGTGGATCTGACCGGATCGGTAACAGCACAAAACCTGTACACCTGAATTGAATTGGCATTGGCAGCACGTCCATTTGCTGTGAACTTTGAGCCATTTGAGCCAAAATTTAGGGAACCCGTGAATTTCGGGGTTTGGGATTCATCGGACTCAGTTTTGAACAATTTGAGCCAAAATTAATTAGGGCAGCTTGGAGTTTAGGGCTGTGGGGTCCTGTAGGGCGGGAGAGTCGCTCAAGCTACATAGGATGTTACTTTATGCGAGTTGGAAGCGCGTGTGCGTGTGTGTGTGTGTGCCTACCGCTGCGTCGAATGACAGCGAGTATATGATACTGATGCAAAGTCTGAACAAGTCAGTTGCCCAATCGGATCAAATGCATATTGCCAGTATAGAAGAAAAGCAATATGTAAGTATATAGACCATCGAACGTACAGAAATAGTCGCACTCGGGCAGCATCAGACAGGTGACGCTAAAGTCTCGGAAATCGATTCAAATGCAGTTTCCCATATATGTGTGTGGTGAAAACCATTAATTACATAGTACCTCGAATAGACGACGGCGTCAGAAAGGTAATACAACAATCTGAACTTCAACCGGTCCCAAGTTCCAACATCAAATTCCCCAAATGCGTATATGGTAGACCAGCACTTGTATGGGTCAACGATGATAAACCATCACACCCGGACAGCATCACAAAGGTGACACGAAGATCTAAGCTAGTCAGTTGTTCAATTGTTTATGGGGGGAATCCAATAGTTGCATAGCCCACCGCTGATACATGATCACACTCAGTCTGAACGAGTCAGTTGTGCAACCAATGCAAAAACATCTTGTTTTCCGCCAGCGAGTCGGCAGCTGTCCAAAGGGTCGGGCTGTACACGAAACAACCCTACGCTGCCTCACCAGAACACCTTTAAACCTAGAGCGGCCTCAGCAGCGGAGCGTAGTCCAGCTGCGTGAGAGGGTACCCAAACATACATCGGTAAAGCACCTGGGGTCCTCCACTGCGCATCCCAATGCCCTCCTGCATCCTGCTGGAAGGATCTCACACGAAAAGCACAGCATTCCGGAGAATGTTGAACGATACACGTTCTTGACTGGAAAAAGATCGACTGAGTGGCAGATATGTCTACGATTGAAGGCTTGCTTGAAGCTCTTGCATGAGCTTGTGAATCTGCTCCATTCTTTTCACGTCTCTGCCCTGAGCCTTTGTCATCTTGATCGCATTTTCATAAGCTGCCGCTTGGAAGGACAAGAAGAAGGATTTGCGGATCCCGTAAACATGGACTGACTGCTTGACGACCTCCAAGCACAGCCACCCCAGTGGGATGTAGAGCACCTCATTCTTGACCAGGGTGATCTGACGGACCAGCGTTCTTGGCCAGAAGTTCCTTGACTGAGTCCGCGTCCAAGGCTTTCAATGCCGCGAGGGCCGCGTTGATGTTATCAATCTCCGTGATCTTCTTCATGTCATAGAGTGCCTTAAGGGTGGAATCGACCTCAAACAGCACATGTCGAACCTCGCCGCTTGCCAACACCTTCAGCATGCAAGCCCAATTTGGAAGGTGGGTCAGAGTCTTCATGTCGTTGCTGCAACCATACATCCACACAGACTTGTGGAACGATTCACCTCCGGGAACTTTGGCAGAGCACAGATCGACGAGGCCCTTATCCACCCACAGGGCCATGGCCTCAAGAAAGCTCTCCTTGCCCTGCTTCTCCTCAAGCGGGTAGGTGACGCAAGCTGTCTTGGTCTGCGCAAGCGTTCGCTTGTACTGGGCTCCCCAAGCTGCCAGCGTGTTCTGAAGTGTTTTCTCACCCATGCACAGCTTCATGGCTTCTGAACCCTTGATGACCCATGGGTAGCACCAGTCAGCCTCGGGCATCTTGGCAACCGCATCCTCAGACTTCTCAGCGACGAGGTCGGCAGCGATGTCAGCCGTGAACAACGGTTCGGTCGCCGGCTCTTGCACTCGCCTCTTCTTGATCTCAGCCGCAGCATCAGCAGCCTCTTGCTTCACTTTCTGCAAAGCCTCCTTCTCCTCCTGCGTCTGCTTGCGCTTTGTTGCACGATCACGTGATGCAATCGCGGACTTCAGATGCTTGATCACGTCATCGGAGCTCTGCTTCAATCCTTTGGCAACGCCTTGGGCAGCCTTCTCAGCTTTCTGCCACTGCTGCTTCATTGCAATGAAGCTCTTCCCGTCGGTGGCATTTAAGACGTACTCTTGAAGCTCACGAAGCCTAGAGAGTGGCAACAGGTCATCTGCTTCCCCAGGCCAAAACTGCGACTCCTTGACTTTCTCAGTCTTCAGAAAGTCCACAAAATGCATCTTCTTCTTCGCGGTGATCGCGTCCGTCATCTCTGCTTGGGTACATCCTGTCATCGCTGAGGCTGGCGTGGGCGGGTTTGTGGAGCCCTGATCGGTCTCGGACTTCTCGGACTTCTGCACTGCCTCCGGGACCAGAAGCTTGATTTCGTTCAGTTCACCTGCAACTCGGGCCGCGGCTTCAAGCCTCCACTGAAACGTGCGCACATATGCAACGGCCGCCCGATCACTAGCGAGGAGCTCAGAGGGATGCTGGCGGTACTTCTCAGCGGTGACCTCGGTGAGTTGCAGGGACTTGTTGAGGTCCGTGCGGATCTTGTTGATGCCTGCTTCCATCTGGCGATGAAGAGCCGGCCTTTCTCGGTCGAGGTTCACGGCCTTTTCCTTTTTGGGGGTGTCGTAGTCAGGCTCTCCCGGCTCGATGGCCAAGGGCTTCGCACCGCGGGAACGGACCTCTGCAGTCTGCTGCTCGCTCATGCCAAAATGGACATCAGCAAACGACACGTCCTGCCGCAGCAAGTGCTTTGAAAGCATCTGCCGAGTTTCCTGGGATGGCGCTGCCATGTTGTTGCTTCCTTCGACAATCCTGTTCTCAACGAAATGCTCACGATTGTTGAGCCTCATCCGGTGAGCCGGAATAAACAACTGCTCAGCCCCACGGAATCCGCCGTGGTCACGGCCCACATTGCGGTCGTTGTACAATTCCTTCCACCACCTAGGTTGAAGCAAGGATGGAGAAACACACATGTCCACGGTCCAAGGCAGGCAGACAGGAGACGAAACACGAGAAGACGCGAAGCAACCACAGCAGCAGCAACAACAAAAACAACAAGCAACTTGCACAAACAAACCCACGGCCCAAGGCAAGCGCACAGGAGACAAAACAGGAGAAGATCCCAAGCAACCACAGCAGCAGCAACAACAACAACAACCAGCAAACAAACAAACCAGGGACAGGGTGTCCCAAAACGGAGCCACGAGAAAAGGCACCACAACGGCAGCAACAATTACAGCACCACCACCGCCACCACCACCAACAACAACAACATGCACAATCACAACAAGAACAAGAACATGAACAAGAGCAGGAGCAAGAACAAGAACGACAACCACAACAACAAGAAGGAACGGAAACAGCACACAACGGAGCCGCCACCACAACAACAACAACAATACCAACAACGCCAGCAACAGCGACAGCTGCCTGCGACAGTGACAAAGAGAACAACTAGTGCACTGGCAATGATTGCATCAGGGGCACTCCTGGGCTTCAGTGGTCGTGAGCCCCAAAACCTTGATGGCTGGCAGCACTCAAACTCTCCAGTTGATGCAGGCTCGCTGGCAAGTGAAAAAGTGTAAGTGTCACTTATCAGGGTTTAATCAGGGTGACCGGGTTGAGTCATGCACTAGCACTCGCTCCAGAAGCCGGCGAGTCGTATGAAATGGCACACAGGGCAAAGCAGGATGCTTTGACGAAGCGTTACATGTCTCAGCAAAATGCAGACCAGGAGCGTTATCGCAGTGTTTGTAAAAGGCGCGTTCCGTCATCGGGATGTCTCCACTCTGCTCGTTCGTACTCACTCTCATGCCCTTGCTCCGCTCGAAGCGGGCAAAGTCGAAGAGAGTCTTCTTCCGGAGCTCCGGTGGACAGTCCTTGACGAACTCCAAGACCGTCCTTCCTGCGAACTCGTCCGACTTCATTTGCGAGTCAAACTCCACCTTCTGTGCCTCTGTAATGTCTTTCCTGCTTCGACGTTGATACATCAAGTTGTCGTACCCGCGTTTATGGTCGTTTTGACTGCAAAACCTGCTGCCGGGATATTTCGGCCACTCGCAGCCTGGGCAGATGCACATGGTCAGCGGCTGGTTCTTCTTGCCACGACCCCCACGCCCACCCGCATCCTTGTCTTTGTTGTCCTTCTCCCTGGCCGACCTCCCCCCTCGCCCTCGTCCCCTGCCTCTCCTGGGCGGGGTCACCGGGGCGTCGTCATCTTCCTGCTTCTCTGTCTTCGGAAGAAGGCCTTGCATGTCATTATCATCCTTGAAAGCTTCTTCCATCGCCGCTTTCACATCTGAGAGCGTCGTCATGCTTCAACTAGCAACAGCGGCAAAAGGGACGAGCTAAAGCCTGCCTTGCAGTGCGACTCGAGATGAACGTCTCGGCAAGTGAAAACAGGCATCCGACACACAACTACAAACACACATGTACTGCAGCACTGCCAGCACATACACCAGAATGCTCTGCACAAGGGTAACTTTAGAGTCAAAAGACATGCCAGAACCTGGAAGCCACACTCGTCGCTCACTGCTGCTGAATCAATAGTGTAACGCAAAGCACTACAGTCACTCACTACACACACATTCACGCACTCCGAGCACTCCCCGCCACAGCCAACGTCTTGCTTTCTCAAAGTTCACGGATGCAGTCACAGGGCAGCCTGGCCAGCTTCACCTGACTCCGCTTCCTCAGACGGTGAAGGATCTGCGAAATCATTGCTTCCCAACGCATGGAAAAGCCTCATGGGTTCTCTGCGAGCGGTGTTCGCAAAGACGTAAAGATACCATGCTAGAATGGCTGGTACTGACTGTGAGTTTCCGCTCAGAAGATGGCACGGCCGGTCCGGCAAGGTCTTGACAAAATCCGTGCCTGGCCAATGATACTCCTTGCTCACACTCGGCATAGGTGTGGAACCCCAAAGACAGGAATCTGTCCATGGAGAGGGCAAGTCTCCCAGAGTCAAGATCAACAACGGTCCCGTGGGTCAAGAGAGTAGGGAAACGGGGCCCACAGCTGGGTCCTTGAGAGCTCGGCCAGTGATCGAGGTCGGCGATAAACGTTCCATCATGAAGAGATGCACGTTCAGGCTGCAATCGACTGTACTCCTGGAGTCTCTGCAACTGGTACGGCGTCAGTACCTGCTGAAACATGCCGGGCCCGGAGACGGGGACGTTCCGCGCAACCCGGCCCATTTTGCGCATCTTCGCAGCAATCCACTGCGTCATGTCATCCTCAGAAGCTTGGAAGAACACTCTGCCTGTCAGACAACAGGAGCGTCCGAAAAGAGCCTCGAAATCCTGCTGGATCTCATCATTGCTGCATGGTCCAAGCCAGACAAGCTCTTGCAATGACAGCCCAGCTGAAAGTCTACGATCCCTGTTTGCTGGCCACCCCAGCAACTTCGGACCTGTCGTAACGTGAATGACTTTGTGACTAGAGCTCAAAGGGCGCGAAAGCAGACCTTCAACATCAAAGCCGGGGGTGCACTCCTGGAAGAACAAAGACTCCTCGCCCCTGCTTGCTAGCTGCCGGCGCAATGCTGTCCAAATTAGCAAAGTCAACTGGGATGCGTGAGCATGGCAGGCACGTTTGCCCTCTATGCTCCATGCCTGACAGCAGTTGCCAGCTGCATTCACCGAGAGGCCACCAGCTTGAGGTCGCTTCTTGTGGACGATGCAATTACAATTGTGCTTGACGAAATGCGTCATGTGGTCCTGGCATGCCATGGCAAGCAAGGAGAGAGCGAAAGCGAGAGAGGGAGAGAGAGAGAGAGAGAGAGAGAGAGAGAGAGAGAGAGAGAGAGAGAGAGAGAGAGAGAGAGAGAGAGAGAGAGAGAGAGAGAGAGAGAGAGAGAGAGAGAGAGAGAGAGAGAGAGAGAGAGAGCGAGCGAGCGAGCGAGCGAGCGAGCGAGCGAGCGAGCGAGAGAGCGAGAGAGAGAGAGAGAGAGAGAGAGAGAGAGAGAGAGAGAGAGAGAGAGAGAGAGAGAGAGAGAGAGAGAGAGAGGGAGAGAGAGAGAGAGAGACAAAACGAGAAAGAGAAAAGACAGGGAAAAGGTAAGCGAGAGAGAGAGAGAGAATATATATATATACATGCATGTAGCATAGTATATATATACAGTATACACATTATATTATATTATGTTATGTTATTTTTTGTATGACATATCTTATATGTACATCTGTGTTACACGGATGGATTGTATGGAATGGCCCCCCTGAGCCGTACTCTGAACCTTGCATGAACTTTCGGCTATACAAACACTCCTCGCAAATCAGAGCCCCGGTCCTGGCTGACTGCCCAGCTGCCGTTCTCTTGCAACCAAGTCTGAATCTCTGCGAAGGCCTGAGGTCTCACTGTGGCATCGCCCAAGTCGCACTGGCTTATCCAACTTTGTGCTAGAGGAACAAGCTGCTTGTGGATGTCGTCAAAGACACAGCTTTCACCTCCATCCAGTCGGTCCGATAGATGACACAGAACCTTCTGTGCCACAGGATCGATGTCACAGGTACGGCTGAGCTTCTGCGGAAGCATGACACCTGTTCGTTTCTGCACAGCCAACGACATCAGCCGCAAGGCTTCCCGTTCGGCACAAACTCCTGAATAGTCTGTGGACAGGTGTAAGCCATCACTCAACAAGTTCATGATGCGGTCTTGGCAACCCTCTCTTGCAAAGACAACGTCCAGGAGTTGCTCAGGAAAGCTGAACAACTCTTCCAAAGAACTGGGGCCTGTTGGCAAGGTCTGCTGCGCTATTGTATCCTCAAGGGACCCTTGCCTTCGTTTTCTTCTGCCAGAACCAAGCACAGCAGCTAGCCGATGAAGTGAGCTGTCCTCAGACCACTGTTCCTCAGGATTGAAGGACATCGCTTCCCTGGCGGCTGCTACACGGGCTGGTGTGGATCTATCGGTCTATCTTACTCAAAAGACTCAACAGCCAGTGACACCGAAGTTCAACACAGCGCAAGCCATCCTATGATATCCTATGAACCCTATCTTGATGATCCGCGATGCGTTGAGAACCTGTGTGTCGGCTGTGCCTTGAGTCAGATTCAGAAGCACCTATGTCGTGACATGTGGAACTGGAGCACGTGACACTGGCAGTATACTCAGTCTACACAAGAGAAGCAGAAGCTAAGACACGGTAAGACTTGCAGAGATTGCCAACGCAGAGACAGTTCGACCCGACGGGCCACTTCTGAATGGAAGGTGTGGAGAATGAGCAAGTTGGAGGGTTTTGATCTGAAACCAAGCAAGCAGTTGCAAACCAGGACAAATAGATCCAATCTAAATATTTCAGGAGCTAAACCCGAATCTGGAGCGGATTTGCCGCCGCCAACGCAAACGCACGAAACGCACGAAAGCGCACGAAATGCACGAAAACGGTGTGGCCTGCGCACGAGCAAACTTTAGCATTTGGCAGCCCAGAATCCTTTCCAGGCTATGGTTTTGGATCCCAGAACCATAGTAAATAAGTCCCAGGCTGGCCGTTTTCAAGGCTCCAGACAAGCTCCAGAGCCGTTGGGAGCCAAATTTGCTCGAGCATCCTTTGGGCGCACGAAACGCACGAAATGCACGAAAAGCCTGCCATGGGATTTGTAAGGAAAAGCAGGACATAATCGAAAAAACCTAGGCGGGACCAATAATCATCCAAATTGCATTACAAACTACCAAAAAACGCTATTTCGCTATTATTTGCTGCACTCTAAAGTTTTTCGCGCAACACGGTCCGGAGAGGCACCAAAGAGTTAACGCACGTCTGCCAGACCCCCCAGTGGCCCAAGTACCACAGCCCGGCCCGCGACACCGGACGCAAGACCTGAGATCTAGGCAAAGCATTTGCACGCCTTTTTTGAGCGCCTGGCGGAGGGTCTCTGGGAACTCTAGTGCAAGGCAGCCACCTCCGATGCTTGTTGCTGGTTGCAGTGGCAAGAAGACCTGAAGTAACTTGAGTAAACAGCTTGGGTCAGGAGGGGGCCACCAAGGCATTGGACAAGTCACTATTAGAGGCCTAGAAACTGTTCGGAGCACAGACCTACGACAGTGTGTTATTGGGTGCAGATGAGACAGGCAAGAATGGAAGACATTGACCCCACCCAGCTGTTACACAACTGGGCTGGCGGCACAACATCTCCATCTTCCTTCTCACCTCACCAACGTGCTCCAAAGCCAGGTGAAGGCATGTGACGCTCAAGACACGGCAGCATCCAGCTCTGCCACGCTGGGCATGCTGTTGATGTTGAAGGCAGGAAGCACACGCTCATTGAAGAGCTCCATATGCTCTGCGGCAGTTGTCACTTCTGACCCAAGAACGGCCCAGTACTTAAGCACATGCAGCACTGCCTCACTGCCACCGAAGTTGCAGCTCCGCTTCTTTCTGCAACTTTTGTCAGCGTTGTGGCTTTCGTGGCCGCATGTTATTTGCCAGTGCTTCGGAGCATCGTCAGGTCCAAGGGGCGTAAAGAAATGTGGGCCCCAGTGGAACCCAGGATTCTTTCGCCTCCGGCGAGGTGCATCTTCTGGGGCAGGTGGTGGCGGGGCGTCAGCATCAGCTCGTGAAGAGCTGCTGCTGCTGCTGCTGCTGGAACTTGAGCTATCACTGGAACTTTGAGAAGATGAAGAAGAAGATGAGGAGGGCTCTGAGCCCGCTGCTCCGTCTGAGTCTTCAAACATAGCTGCCAACTCCTGTACTAGTTCTGCTTCACTGCCCTCACCCGCCAGCTCATGTTCCTCAGTCTCCACTGCAGCAGCAGCAGCAGCAGCGCCCGCAGCAGCGTTTCGGCGTGGTGCTGCCGAACCGGCTCGTCTTTGACGGACACGTCTGCCCTGGCCTACCACGTAACCATCCACAGGCCAGTCGTCGCTGACATGGCTCATCTTTCGGGCCTTTCGCTTGACTCCACCCGGTCGACGGAGGGACTCATCGCCCAGCCCCAACAACGTGGCATAATCTGTATCCTCTGCCACATGCGGCACATCCTTCTCTCCTGTAAGTAGGAGCAAGGCCAACAAGTACAAACGAGAAACTGTGGCATGTTGCTCGGCCGTGTACCAAATCTTGGGATCAGAAGCCTTCTGTTTCATGTTCGCTTTCTTCATGGCCTTGTACTCTTTCTTGGAGACAACCTCGTGGCGCCAGTGCTTGGCATCCATTTCCAATATCAACTGGAAGCATGTTGCATCTTTGAGATCACCCTCGCAGCGTCTCAACAATGGCCGCTCTGAGTGCAGCACGACACACTGCTCAACACGGTTCTTGGCAGTTTCCGTCAAGGTCCATGGCGGCCCAACCACAACCCCCTCTCCAGCCAGAATGTCTAAGGCTTCGACAATGTCAGGGGGTGTATCCGAGACCACTGCGAAACCCTCCGGCGCACTCACCAACTCTTGCAAAGCTTGAGACACAGGCGTTCGCAGATCAGCAGGCACGGTTGACATGAGTTGGACATCAAAGCAAGGTATCAAACCGCCACGGGCCTGCCATTCTCGTATCTGCAACAGCTCCCCTAAAGTTAGATTGTCCAGATACAAAGCTAGCCCAGCGTCGTTAGCAGACGACATGGATGCTGGCACAGCACCTTTCAGTGACACGGTTGCCTCACGCCTTTCCGGATCCATCCCCATGATGCGGTGAAGTTGTACAACCAACACCCCGCTCAAAGAAGCTGCCTGATGCACCTTGGTTCCCCTGAATCGAGCTGGCTCAGTGTGCACAACAGACCAGAACAATGCCTCCTGGGTGACGACGTCACCAGCACCTTCTAAGTGCCTCCTGACAGGCACTGCAAGGTTTGCCTCGGGCAGGGTAGGCCAGGACAAGGCTAGCTGCTCTGGAGCATCCCACGTTAAGTGAGCGGCAACTTCACCCCTAGAAGCAGAGTGTGGAGCAAGCAAACCACGGAGTTTGTACAGCGCAGTTGGGACCAAGGACATCGAAAGGTACATTCTTGGTTTCACCAGTGCCTTCAAGTCTTGCAGCGCATGCGTGCGACGCAGAACTTGCGACTGCTCCGCAGCCTCTTGCCTGGGTTCACGCTCCTCGTGCCCGGGTTCACGCTCCTGCATAAGCTGAAGCCGAGTCTCTTGCATTTTCCGAAAATGTACCTCCCTAGGCAAATCCATGGTGTACTTCGTGTATGGGTCATCATGATACAACAACGCGATGGTTTTGTTGCTCTGGCGTCCAGTCAACCAGCCTGCTTTCCTGGCATGCTGCACGCACAAAACCGACGCGCTTCAGGATAGCTTCTCGCCGTGTCAAGAGCGAGAAGTAATATGCCAGCCTCGAGAGCTGCTCTGGGTTCCTTTTCAAACAATCTCTCAGCAATGGGAGTCTGTGACAAAGACTGACAAAGGGGGCCCCATGATTACTAGCGTCTGTTACGCCTTTCTTGGTCCGCGCGTGCTGCCCTTCGACTCTCCACGCACTTGACCAACACAACGACATCTCTGCTGCCAAGGACTTCAAGTATGGGAACGACCCCTCCCACAACCCGCCCCCGGCAAGGAACTCAGTGCACTCAGTTTCATGAGCTCTCAACTCCACAACTCGTGGGTGAGTGCAACTGGAATCCAAGCATCGCTTGAGTGCTTTGCACCTTTCAGATGCATCCCAGTGCACTAGAGCTGTCAAGCAATGCAGAGGCTCCGCCCAGAATGACAGCTTCAAGATGTAAGTTGAAAGAATGTACTGCCGTCCCTGCTCGAAATCTGTCAGCAAGCCCTGAAGCTCTTCCTCCGTCAGGCTGCGGGTCAACCTGGATTGAAGAAAGAGTGTACTGCGGTCGAGCAGCCGTTGAACCACCTGGAAGAAGGCACCTGACGACAGACCGGCGCAACGCCGGCCTCGCAGAGGGCAGTTCTCCCAAACTCGTTTGATGTCCACTCCTACATCCTCTTTCAAGAGGTGTGAATGACAATCGCAGCCATTTACATATTCGGTTGCAGAGGCTTGTGTTTCAGCGATCTCTCGCATGATGTGCAAACATGCCCACCAATGGTCAGAGGTCAAAGCTTCATTGGCACCGGGCAAATGAACGCCATGTTCATCACCCTGCAAGTCTTCTTTTGGTTGCGAGACGGCATGGCCACTTAAGTAAATGTTCAGATCCCAGCATGTCCGCAGTGCAGCTTCCAAGTCGTAAACAGATTGGACTGCAAAGGCAATCGTGTTCCACCTCTTCTCATGCACTTCGCATTGGAACTTTGAAATCTCGCTTGCAAACCCAACAGCAACACCGGAACTGAAGCATGTAGCGAGCAGTTGCCTCTTGGATTCTTTACCACCCAAAAGCCGACAGACCCTTTTCAGACCTACCAGAAATGGACGGTACATAGCCATGACCCCTTCCAAGCCACTTGTGATGTTGTGTATTACATGATTGAGGTCGGGTCCTTCCAGGCACCTGGACAAGTCGCAAGTGTCGTGGTCCTGCTCTGGCTGTGGAACGGCTTCCTCAGCAAAAAAATTTTCATCATCAAACAATGGCCCGACTGCGTCACCGTCAACGAAGGCGTCCGGATGGTCGTGAGGGACTTCTCCATGCTGCTGTTGCGGTGGCAGGTGCATGTAAGGCAATATATCCGTCAAAGAACTGCTGGCTGTCTTTGCTAGCAAAGCCTCTGCACCGTAATCAGTGTGTAGAGATACGATGGACCCAAGAAGCGTTGCTAACATAGGCCGTCCATCAGCTAGAAGACCGAATGCATGGGTGAACACACGAAGTTTGGCTGCTGCATTGGTACGTCCAGGAGCTAGCATTGCGGGCGCTGGTATGTGCCACAAAATCTTGTCTGCAATGGATGCCAGCAAAGTCTTCTCTTCATCTACCCGTGCGATCGTGGCCTCAACGTCCAAGGTGCAGAACTCGTCTTGGAGCTTGCGGAAGTCCTGCAGGCGAACCGCAAGAGCACAAGTCACCCGGGCAACCCCGCACATGCAGTGACACTGCTGCTACCGCACTTCGACTTGCACTGTTTGTTCTGAATATGAAAGGTCCACAAGCTCGGTTTTGGATATTGCTTACGGGGAAGGGGGCTGGAATAAACCGCAGTCTAAGCCACCCCTGCAGGATTGAAATACGACAACATCAGGTGACCAGTGAGCTGGTAGAAACTATGCATGGATCCAACATGACTGGACAGATGCAAGAAACTCATTTTGCGCCGGAAGAAGCGTGGCTGCAGAGCAAAAGCTGATCTCCCACCCATGCTGCAACTGCAACACGTGGCTAGAGAGCAACAGCTGATCTCAGGCATCGGTGTCATCGCCCCCCCTATGCTGCAACTGCAACACATGGCCAGGCAGCAACAGCTGATCTAAGGAATCGGCGGCATTGCACCCCCTTGCTGTAACTGCAACACGTCAGTCAGGCTGCTGAAAAAGCCTGCCATCACCTCACGTGCATCCCTCGGTCCAGGACGCCCACTGCCACTGGCTTCACCACGGCCCCGGTGAGCTGCACTTCCACTTCCACGATCATGCTGCTCCTCACGTCGGTCTTCACGACGACGATCAAAGTTGGGCGGGGACCGCTCTCTCAAGAAGACTCCCGGGCGCTTGTTCTGCCTCGCTTGGCGAGACAAACAGTCGCCATACTCCTGCTGTTGCCACATCGAGTTCTCATTATTGGCGACCCACTTCCCACACTTGGCACACTGCGCCTTCGCCTCTTTTGTCCGCGTGCGGTTGCCCGCTCCAGCTGCCTTCTCCTGGCAGCGGACACTGGTCTCCTTGTGCCACTTCAAGACGGCTGGGTCCTTGCTTTTAATCCACTGGCCGCAGATGTCGCATGAGACACCGAAGTCCCGTGGATCGAGTTGGGATCGGTGCGGATCACGCGGTTGCCAGCTGTGGCCCGGTGCCGCCCGCCCACTCGTCCAGGTTGGATCCGGTGCCCAATCATCGTTGAACGCATCGTTGAAAGCCCGATCTCGCTCATCATCATCATCACGATGACGGCTGCCCTCACCTCCATCAGAAGCCGGGCCGTTGCCCTTCTCTCTGAGGTTCTCAGGCACATAACGAGGAGACCCGGAACTGTCACTTGCCCTCGAATCGAGATCACGGACCTGTACCATGGCAGCAGACAAAGTCAACTCAGCACTCAACTGCTGCTCTTCTCAAGCCGGAATCTGCAATGCAACACATGGTGCTCATGCCACAATGAAGGCGTCAGATCCCAACAGACAAAATCTTTAGCAGCATGCCGCAACGTGGACTTCAACTCTAATGTCGCGAAATGTCATGTGGCAAACTCAGCAGACTGCGCAACTGCCATGCATTCAAGCTCGGATGTCTTAGCTCTGCGGTCCTTGAACAGGTCGTCGAGGTCCTTGCGCCGGACGATGTTGAGGATGATCATCTGGTATTGTCTGCCGGCCTGGGCAGTGGCATCAGTCTGTGCAAAGATTGAAACGCCGCCCGAATCCAACATGCCTTTGAGCTGCTCCCTGAACAAGAGCATCCATGCCACGTCAACCTTGAACCTGATTCGTGAAATTGTGCTCGCACTGGGAATCCTCAGCCCGGGCCCTTGATCACCACGAATGTACTTCAGAGCACTTGCACACACATCTGGCGGCAGAGCAGACTGAACCGCTAGCTCCAAAACTGGTCGTATGAGAGAATCGTTTCGCAAAAGCCCTGCCAGGAAGAAGTACTGCAGCAAGGAACCCACATGGTAGCGAACACGGAAAGTGCCAGACAGATGCAGCCGCAATGAAATCACGTGATTGTCTTCTGCATCTTCCACGGCACGAGCAGCTGCCAACATATCCAGAAGCAATGCATCACGTGTCTGACCCTCGGCAGGCCTGCCTCCCATAAGTACATGGCAAGCAGACTGCAAAACACCTTGCAAAGCCTTCCTGCCTGCACTGGAAAATACTGAAAACTCCTCCGGTTTGTTCTGCACACCATCCCCGCCCGCAGGTTGGAAGAATAACTCTGATGGCAACTCCGAATTTCGCAAGCACTGAAGCCGAATACTGTCTGCATCCGGAAAATGACTCCAACCTGCTACCAAACCCAAGTCATTCCTTGCCAAGTCGGGGATGGCTATGTACCTCCAGTGGCCTTCCAACACCAAGGTCAAAATGGGCCGTGGCAACCTCAGCAGAACAGAAGGATGATGATGTCCTTCCGGGAGCAGCCCCTTCCACCAGCGACGCTGCGCTGGCGACAGATTCATGTTATCATTGAAGAAACGTTCACCCCATGATTCGATGACAGACCCAAAAAACCGCTTCTTGTACTGATGTCCCACAAGCTCTATTGGGACGGGCAAACATAAGGGCTCTAGCTGTACGACACGAAAATAAAACATCTTGCCGTGCAAGTCTGATTGGATCAGCTGTCTCCAGGCTTGCCTCTGGGTTTCCTCACACTGGGTCAGATGAAGCAGCGCATGGTGCTGTGCAGATGGCTCCAAGGCCACCAAAGCAGCTATGTGACTGCCGGTCGGATACTCCCGCGAAAATCTCTCCAGTTCACTCGACAAGCCTTTGTGCAGCTTGATTTCCCGCTCCAAAAACAAAGTCTTGCATCTGCTGACGGCTGCATCAGCCCGGACACGTGTGTTTTAAGGAAAATCAGCAAGCCAAACCGCATACTGATCTGTTCCTGCTGCCATCTGAGCTCAAACAGGCATGGGCAACCACGTCTCAGCCTACCGCTGCTTCAGACAGTTCAGACAGGCTGTTTAGGGTCCGCTTTGATCCGTGGTGGGTTGAACAGTCTCTGCTCGATTATGGAGTCTCGCTTTTCTACATCAAGGCTCAGTTCTGGGCCCATCGTTGCAGAAGCTGACAGCAATCGCCAATCACGACCGTGTGGACGGACATGCCTATGTAAAAAACACTCAATAGCCCAGAACCTCTCTCTTTCCGTCTTAGGGAGTCTCCAGGGTTTAAGAGTTTAGGGGTATGTTAGGTATTTTTTCAATTCAATGCCAAGAAGTCGCGCAATGGTCAGATGCTCTGGTAAACATGACGAAACCGTACACCGGCATGTAGCTCTGGAACCCCAAACGTAACGGCGCAAGTTACTATCCAAGCATGCTGCACAAGACAAATCGATCAAAATCAAGGTCCTCCAACAACAGAGACTGCCGCGGGGCATGCTCAACAATCCCAAGTCTCTCGTAGTGGATCTGAGGCTTCGACAAAGCCTTCGTGAAGACGTCAGCTGGGTTCTCGGTTCCCGGAACCCAGGTCAAGGAAATCAGCTTGTCCTGAATGGCCGCCTGGGTCCAACACACGCGCAAATCTACATGCCTCACACGACGAAGCAACCCATGCATGGATCCTATGTTGATGGCTGCCTGTGAATCGGAGTAGATTGCTGGTGGCTCGTTGTTGTTCCAGTACGGTCCGTAGATATGCTGCACCAATGCAACAACACCAACGGCCTCCTTCGCACCCTCAGTGATTGCAATTAGCTCTGCCTCGGCTGAGCTCATTGCCACCGAAGTCTGCTGACGGGTGAAGGCTTTGATGGGGAAACGATCGACGAGGATGACACATCCCGACAAAGACCTCCGATCGTTATTCCGTTCGGGGGCCCAGTTCGAATCGACGCACGCTTCAACCCGACCAACGCACTCATCTGCTCCCATCAACTGCTTCAGGTGGTCAACCGACATCAAGTACCGGAGAAAAGCACGCAGACAGGTTTCATGCACAACGAGAGGTGTCGATTGGCCTCTGCTCAGGACACTGATAAAATAGGTGAGGTCGATTCTAGTTTGACCTGCCCAGCTGATTTTTCCGCCGCCGAGCGGTACTTCGAAGCTGCCTCAGCCGAAAGTGGCTTCTGGCACTCGGGCTTGTCAAGAGCGTCGTCCAGCACTTTCCGAAGGTCTGGCGGCGTGGGGGAACCTTTCTTTATCCCGTACGACTCATAGACTGCGTTGAAGTAGCCCTCCGGGAGCCCAAGCAGCAGTCCATACTCGATCTTCTGGATCACTCTTCCTAGGAAATCAATCTTCTTATCTCTCGACAAGATGCCCGTGACCTTGATCTTCACAGAACGCCCCAGGCGCTCAATCAAATTCAGCGCTGCGTCACGACTTTTGCAAGCAATCACCAAATCATCCACGTAGGCAAGCAGAAGCATCCAAAACTTCTTTCCTTCAAATTCGTACTCTCCCGAGAAGACGCTCTTTTCGGTATCAGAAGCATGGAGGCCCATTTCCTTCACAAGCTCACTCAAATGCTTATACCATGCCAAAGACGCCGACCGAAGACCGTAGAGCGCTTTACGCAACTTCATGAAAACACGTGAGTTGTCGGCGAAACGGACGTTTGGAGGCAGCATGACACACTCAGGGGAGACGATCAATGCAAAAAGGAATGCTGTACTGACGTCGGCAAGGACAATGTCTGAGTCGGTGGCCGAGACAAACACCAAGAACGACCTGAAGGCTTCGTTCGACGATGTTGGGCTGCTGATTCCCAACTCTGCTGCGGTGGGCCCGCCACTCGCGTAGTCTCTGGCAACAACTCTTGCTCGAACGATGTCCTCCTTGGTCTCTCCGTCCTTCCTCCCAACAGAAACCCACCTGGTTGAAAGGATTCTGATGCTGTGTTCTTTGCAATAAGAATCGGCTTCGGACTTTGAGATAACATCCCCGACCTTAAGCGTATCGAGGGCACGAATTTCTTTTCGCATCCCTTTAATTGCCTTTCCCGGTTCGAGGGGCTTGTCGGTGGCGTCGTCGCGTACAAAACTCGGCTTCTGCAAGTACACAAGCCTATCTCCCATTCTAAGTTCCGACCAACCGTCATCCTCAATGCTCGAAAACACGCTCACTCTGCACTGCACTCCAACGGCAAAGTCCTCAGCAACCTCAAGTGGAATACAATCCAAGGCATCATAGGATGGCACCGACCAACAGGCATCCACATCTATTGGCATATCATCAGAGCCTGGCACATCACCAACGCCCCCGGCTCCATGTGGATCACTGCCCTGGCCCTCTGCCTGGTTCTCACTCTCCTCGGGTCCTTGTGCCTCGGTTCCTGGCAAGTACTCTTCAACTGTGGGCAACCAAGGCTCAGCAACGGTCACCTCATCATAATCATCGGGAAGTTCGACCTCGACCACGGGATCATCATCATCAACCCCAACGGGATCCGGAACAATATCCTCAACAGCCTCTCCTCCTTGTTTCGCCGAAGGCTCTGGGCTTCCTTCCTTCATCTCCTCAACCCATGCACGATAGCGCTTCCTGCAAGTCACAGAATGCTTCACGCCATGAAACAACCCACGCTCACAAGCTCGGCAACGACGCGTGCGACCATGCTCAAGCAACCACTCTTTGGGGGGATTGCCATCTTCAGTCAAGCTCAACGGCAACACGGTCAACTCATCATCAACATACTCAAGCTCTGGCAACTTAGGCAACCGATGCACCATGCTACCAACTCTCTTCGCAAGCATGCCAAGCAACTCAAGATCGTACCTCGTTGGCAACAGGGCTTTCACAGCTGGCGTCTGCACCACCTCGACGGTTCCAGGCTTAACTTGCATGGTGGCCCAATGGGAGGCCTTTCCTAGGACGGGTCCCAGGTAGGCTCCATAGGTGTATCGCCCCGGCATAGAAGCGGCTTTGCTTGGTGGGCCCGAGAGCAAAATGGTACTACCGAACACATAGGCCTGGTGGGGCCTGTGCTGGTTCCCTCTCAGCCTTTGTAGAGGGGTCAAGGCTGATCCAGACAACATGTTGTACCTGTTCTGGCAATGGCAACCATGCTGAAACACAAAGCTGAAGGCTTTCCGATTGTTCCTCTAACCCACACCTTTGTCCTGCATCTGAATCAAAACACCACTGACAGTCTCTCGCAACGCTCTCACAGCACGCTTTGCAACTGGCGCATGACGACCTGCGGCAAACTGCTCAATGGTTCCTTGGTACACGGGAAAACTCTCCAACATGGTTTGCCACAACACTCTCATATACCCTTCAGCATCGCAAGTGAACAAGCAACTTTTATTGGCAAGCCCAAAATGCATCATCCACTGTGACATGCCTGCAACAATCAACTCTCTGGTCAGATCACCACTCACACAGCCAATG